TTTAAAATATGGAATACCTGGGCTGGGGTTGTGGCTCAGTGATAGAGTGCTTGCCTATTATGCATGAGGCACTGGGTTCGACCTCCAATACCACACAAAAAAACTAAATAAACAAAATAAAGGTATTGTGCAAGTTTACAACTAAAATTATTTTTTAAAAATATGGAATACATGGAATTTGCAGGCCACCTGTACACAAGGTTCAAATTAATCTCTATGTTGCTCCAATTTTCACAGATGTTACCAAAGTAAGTTGTTTAGGGCACAAAGGATTAAACCTGAGAAACTGATGTGACTCCATTTTTGAAAACAGCTTCTACCTCAAGGCCTGTCCAGTGGAAGGGGGGCATGATCCTTGTCCTTGGAAAAACCCACAGAACGCTCCTAGGCACATACCCACCCTGCTGAGTTGTTTAACAGGAGGGATCTGCAGCACCAGGTGTCCCTAACTCAGTTACACTAGGTGAGGACCCATAGCAACCCCCTAGCAACCACCAATCAGCGTGAGACAGGGAAAATATCTGAAAAGCCTGGTGACCCTCCCAGTAGCTTTGGTAATTGATAACATGGTTAGGCCACCCTGCAGTCTAGCGTTATACACTCTTGCAACCTCTCTCGGCCTAAACCAATCAGTTCAAATATATCCACCACTTGAACTAACCAATCACCCTTACCCAACTTGTTCCCACCAGTGAATGTGCTAATCAATGTTAAGAGTTGTTGTTTGATTTTCCCGCAGTTATAAAATGATTTGCTGTGTGATGTTATGACGCGACGCATAGAGTATCCCCCAAAACCTATAAAATCTCACTGAACAAAGGACCAGGACCTTTGTTCGGTCCCTGGGACCGCTGCGTTGGGAATGGTTATGAGTCCAGGCTCGAGCCTGCAATAAAGACTCCTGTGTGATTGCATCGGATTCAGCTCCTGGAGGTCTACTGGGGTCCCACGAATCTGGCATTACAAACCCAGGAGCATTTTACCGTTGAGCTACATTCCCAGTCCTTTTCATTTTTTATTCTGAAACAGGATTTCACTAAGTTGCTGAGACTAGCCTCAAACTTGTCATCCTCCTGCATCACTGGGATTACAGGCGTGCACCCCTTACCTGGTGAACCCAGCTCTTTTGGAACAAAACGGAATTTCAAGGAAAGGGGCTTACATTTTCACATAGTTGACCCTCTTCTCTAAGCATTTTTTTTTTTTGCGGGGTTGCAGTCCTGGGGATCAATCCTAGGCCCTTGCTCTACCAGTAAGCTATATCTCCAGCTCTTGACCCTCTTATAAAGCTCAAGTACTTGTAGCTTATGATGTGATCTCAGAAAAGTTTCCTTGACATCTCTTGAGTCATGGTTTTAGTATCAGAAGAATGATTATCTCAAATTTCAAGGAATGATGGGAAGAAAAATCATATAATTTTTAAAATTAGATAAAAAGAGTTGGGAATTTAGCTCAGTGGTAGAATACTTGCCTAGCATTCAGGAGGCCCTGGGTTCAATAATCCCCAGAACAACAACAACAAAAAAAAACTTAAGGGAAAAAAGTGATTAATAGTTGGAAAATGATGAATTCACATTATGTACACACTTTCAGGAAGAATCACCTGCTAATCTGGATCTTCATGCTTCCAGTAACAACCAAACTGTTGCTTTCTCAGATTCTAAGCGGGTGTGCAGGTTGCTGTGAAAAATAGGCCAAACTTAGGTAGACTGTGGTGGGCAGCTGTCTTAACCAAGTTTCCCCTAAAAATTGGGAAGGTCTTTGAGGGGAAAACCAATTTCACTTTCTGATTAAATATTTTATTGTATTTGGTACTGGGAATGGAACCCAGAACCTGGCACACATTTAATATGATCTTTTAATTCCTTTCCTTGTTATTATAATTTTTAAAGCACAATAATTTGCTAAAGATTTAAAGTCCATGGGTCTAAAATAATAATTAATTATGACGCAAATTGTGGGGTTGTTGTGGAAGAAGGGTTGCTTAGGGGCTGGACTGAGCTACTTGTCCAGCCCCTAAGCAATTGTTTTTAATGGGTTCATCATTGCCCCCTTTCTGAAGATTTATCTGGACTGTAGAGGTTAAAGGTAAGACTCACCTTATCTGTGATTAATTACAATGAAAAAAAAAAAAAGACTAAAAGTGCCTAAATCTGTCCCCAACAGAAATAAAGTGCCTGAGAACACTCCTGCTATTCATGAATAAAATATGGGGTGGAAGCCAGAGAAGTGCAATTTAAGTCTCACCTTAGCTGCACTACATTTTCAATGCACAATGTGGTAAAACTCACAAGGTACTGCTTTAAACATGAAATCAGATTCCTTTATAAGCCTCACAGATTGAGGGAAATGAAAATTGCATTATCCACCTCAGTCCACATGTCTTGCACAGTTCCTGACAAATTGCCTTGCAACTAACTAGTGATGCTTGTGGGTCATGCATCACCCTCCTAGGATCCCATTTGCCGGGGTAAGTTTCTGAACCTCATGGGAAAAGTCCAAGGTCTCCACTAAGAACAGGCACTAAACCAAGTCTCTTAGGATGGAGAAGGGAGAAGAGTTCCCTACAAAAATGCTTTGCTTGAGTTCAAAGTGCATCATATCCATCTTTACTCAGAATAAATAAGTCCCTGTTTTTTATATTCCATTTCTTAAGTTTGAGAGCAGGTAAGTGTGAATTTTACCCAAAATAAAACAGGATTATAATGCAACACATCAAACAGACTTCTGAAGGACACAGGGAGGGAAGCCAAACGCCTGGCTTCTCTACTCCCATCTCCAACTCCCTGGGACCATATCAGTTGGCATGACAATCATCAGGGCCAGTCCTAGCTGGAATTGCTGACAGGAGCCTATCTGCTACTGTAGAAAACAAATGTGCTGATAGAGATTCTGCTCTAAGATCTATATCTCCAAATCAGAGCTAAGGAAACCTGGAAAGAACAGGGGCCAAAGATAACAAAGGAAGTCTGAGATGCAGACCACCTACCTACATCAGGCCCAGGTGGAAAGAGGCCAGGTTTAAGTAATATTTACCAGGGCAAATGTTAATGAACTGCTCTTCTCACTACATTAATATATTCAATACTTTTTTAGCAAGATTCCAGGATGATCCTAAGAACTCACATGGGAAGTTTTATTACCGAAGTCATCAAAACATCAGCTACAGGCAAGTTTGCCTTTAGGTTAGCAGCAAGGAAAGTCTCCAAGTCCAGGATCTGGAAAAGCCATTGTTCAGGGAATCTTACCTTTCGGGCATGGTTTTAATTTCACTTTAACTTCAAGTCCCAACATCAAAATTTTAAAAGTTCCCCCTTAAAGAACTGCAGAATAAACAAACAGGTCCTGTGCTTTTCCAGGAATGTCTCTGCCCCAACCCCCACCCCATCTCCAAGGGACAATATTAGATTGCTGACTTTTCCTCCCCTTTTCTTCTGTTTTTTAAGCATATCACACATGCACCCCATGGTGCACCTACCATTTCAAATACCTTGCAAATATATCCCCATTCTGCCTCTCCAGGGTCTCCAAAGAATCTGGGAGGAGCCAACAAATGCAATTTGAATAATAATGAAGCAGCCGAACAATTTAATTACAAAAGGTAGCCCCAGAGACTCCATAGAAAGGGTGCAAAGCCTTTCTTTATCTACAAAAATGTGGCCTGGAGATCAACTGTGGGACCAATTAGTGGGAATGCATTAGAGAGAAGTGCACAGGTGCACACACCAGTTTAAGCAAACTGGGAATTAGCACAAATCCTCCCAGGAGAGAAGATGGTATGGAGGGAAAAAGAAAAAAAAAAAAAGGTGACTTGGAAAGCTGTTTTCTCATCTGCCAGGCTCAAGGCTAAAGTTTACTTTTTTCTGATTCATTGAAGGTAGTGTCTACTGTATGTAGAATAATCAAAACTGTCCTCAGAGAAAGACTTTGTACAGAGAATTTAAAATAAGTGAATTCTCGATAAAAGTTCTAAAAATATCAAGCCACAAAGGTACTTTTATCCCTTGCCCAATTTCTTCAGTATGAAAGATTAAAGAAGCTAATTCCTTCTCTAAGATGCATACAGCTTCACCAAGAATAATGTTATGTTTAACAGCCTTGTTCTACTGACCTTTCCAAGTGACCTTACAACACAGAATCTTTTGCTTGCTTTTGAGGAAATTTTTAGATTGTTCTTTGGGGAATCCTAAAAAGCGCTCAACGTCCTTAGATCTTAAAAAATAAAATACAGGAAGCCTCTACAGGCTGAAGGATAGCTACAACCTGCTTCTTGAACAGGAAATAGTTTGCTTCAGGGGCAAAGAATGCCCTCGCCCCGCGCTCACTCCCAGGCAAGCACTGCCATGCCCAGCTGGTGACACTGAGCGCAGATAAGGTGTCCTAACAACTGTATTTGCCTGGATCCCGGGAAACCCGCGACCGCTCGGCGATTCCCGTAGTGAGCATCACCCCCCCCAGCAACCGCCCCGAGGGTGCTCCCACATTGAAGCCCCAGGACCCCTCCAGTGGCAACGCGGGACAAGACTGACACCCGCAGCTGCAGACGACCCTGCCAGTCACGCTGCCGCCGGCTGCCTTTTTTTAGCCACGACATCTGACCTCCGCTTAAACAGCAGCGTTCAGGGAGAAGTCCCAGGGAGCGCCGGCGATCCTCTCCTTTCCCAATCCCGGGACCCTGCGGAGAGCTCTAGGGGGAGGAGGGGAGAGGCACCAGCCCCGAAAGGGGCCAGAAAGCGCGCGATCCTCCTGGCCAGACGCTTCCTCCTTCCCGCTTCCCCATCGATCACGGTCTCCCCTCCGCCTCCAGCACCGGGATCCCCCATTTTGCTGCTCCAGGTCGCTCCTCTACAGCCCCTCCCCTCCACCCCCTAAGTCCGATCCCCTGGATCCCCTCCAAGTCGGCGGCCCGCGCGCCTGGCCCGGCCGGGGCCGGGGAGACACCGAGAGAAAGGAAAGGGGCGCGAGCTGAGGACTCGCGGGGCCAGGGGCCGAGCGCTCACCTCCCTCCTCGTTCCCACTGTCCGGATCGGCGTCCGAGGAGTCGGGCCCGTCCCCGTAGTCCGCTAGCCCCACCAGTTCATCCTCCTCCTCTTCCTCCTCGTCGTCCGCGTCCTGCGGCTGCGTCTTCCCCAGCACCTGGCTCATCGCGCCCACCGGCCGTCCGGCCGTCCCAGGGACAGCAGGGGTCCCGGGCGGGAGCCAAGCCGCCTCGCCAGCCGCCCACAACCTATTTCTGAATTGGGGTTTTGTTTGGAGCTTCGGGGGAGCCGGCGGAGGCGGGGGCAGCCTGTACCCAGCCGCGGGCGGCGCCCAGGTCCGGGTCGCGCGGTTCCCAGCGCGCCCCGAGCCCCCTCCCCCGCCCGCCCGCTCGCTCGCCCGCCCGCTGGCGGAGGAGTCAGCCGGAGCGCGGCAGTTCCTCCCCGAGGAGGGAGAGGGAGAGACTGCGTGACCCGAGTCACCTGACACACACTGTCACACACACATACACACACACACACGCACACACACGGGTGCGCGCGCTCACCCGGCTGCAGGCGCGGCTCGGCGGGGCGCTGGGCCGAGGCCACACACACACACACACACACACTCTCTCTCTCTCTCTCTCTCTCTCCCCCCAACGAGGGGTGCGGGGCGGCGCGGCGTCCTCCACCCAAAGAAACACTCACACACAGACACACACGCTGAACACTGGCCCCCGGACGCGGTGCTGTCACCCACCGCGGCTGCGCGCCAGGGGCCCCCACGCGGAGCTACTGCACGTGGTCCGCAAAGGCGGCCGAGCCGCGGGGGGCTGGGGGTGTAGGGAAGCTGCACGTCCCGAGAAACCTCCTCGCATCCCGCTGCATACACACCAGCAGTGCCTTTCCTTGGGCCGCAGTCTCCAACTTTCAGTCCTGGGCTAAGGTTCGGGTCCCAAACAGGCTTTCCCCCAACACTGCTGCGCCCAGGCCCCCACCCCAGAGCAGCATGCCTGCCGAGGACTCCAGGTGGATGCTGAAGTACCCGGAGAAAAGAACTCAGAGAAATGCACAGCGGCAGTGCAGTCTCCATAGCAATTGCTTTTTAATGTGTCTTTATGGTTCAAAGTGTTTCCCACCAAGAATATTCAAAACTCAGGCCTACGCAGATATAAATGTTTCTGAAGAAATCACATGCCTAGTGGCTGCCTAGACTAAATAATAATTCTTCTGCAGCCTTTTGGAAAAGGTCTGGGGTGTACAACACGCTCAGGGGCTATTCAGAGCCACCTACTCAAGTCTCATTGTTGCCTAGACTGTAATCCCACATGAAATGTTTCCAGGCTTTTGTGGGAGGTGTGTGTGTGTGTGTGTGTGTGTGTGTGTGTGTTTAGGGGGTGAACAATTCTCAAATAGGAAAAGCAACGATGTGGGGGTGAGGCTAAAACGTGCTTTCTTCCTTCATAAGCTTCTCACCACAGGACATACTGTACCCACCCTCCCAGAGTACTGGAAAAAAAAAATCACGTGGATGAACTTCCTTCTGTGTTTAACAGAATAAGAAAAAAACAGCTGGCCAGCAAGGTGATCCAGATCCTACAGGTGCCTGCAGTTCAGCAGGTGTTGTGACAGAGGAGAAAAGGAGAAAGGCAGCTCAGGCTGAAGACTGTCTGGGCCCCAAGGGTGCAGTTTCTAGTAGGTGACCTTTACTGAGTACTACCTGCTGGGGATTACTAGTGGGGTCCAAAGATGCTAAAGGGCAGGAATAGAGGAGCTCTAGTTCTGCCAAATCATCACTTGTGTCCTGGATTATTTAGTATTCCTGGGTGTTGAAAGTAGATGTAAACATCTTCTAGTGGGTGGCTGCTTCTGATAGGAAAGTCCTAGATTTTCCAGGTGGACAAAGTGTAACTTGGTATGACTGCATGGGTCAAGGTTCTTCCCAGGAGGAAACTGAAAAACCTTTAAGTGAAGGGACAATTTGTAGAGTTGTGGGCAGAATTTGGGGAATCAACACAAGAATTTGCAATAGTGGGAAGATATTACCACTTCTAAATTTATAAAGGAGAGAATAAATAAAGTTATACTTCGGAGAGAGGCAAAAAAGGCATTTTAGCTGAAGGGGAAGTAGCCACTGCTGGAACCATCTGACATTTAGGACACAGCAGTAGAAGGAAATACCCAGAACTCTCCAATCACACCTTCCCGCCACTCTTTTGTAGAAGTTTCCCTTTGGTCAAATCCAAGGGGAAACCAGAGGACAAGAAAGCCTGGACCTAGTGGAGACAATAATGAGTAGGGAGGGCAGACTACTACAGCAGGTAGTGCTCCCAGCCTGGAGTGGGATACAAACAGCATAACCAGCATAAGAAGGCTCTACTTAATGTTATCACAGGCAAGTTACTGTTCTAAACCTGTCTCTTCATCAATAGAACATTATCCCCTAAGAGTTATTAGGAAGATTAAAGGAAAATGAAATAAAATTCAGGTTCTTTCCAAGTTCATTTCCTAGGGGTAATTTTCCTAGCACATTTTTATCCTTTCTATAAAAGGAAGCCCTGGGGAAGAAGACTTTCCCAGAATGACTATGAAGACTTGCTTCTCTCCCAGAGCTAGCCTACTAGCCTGGGAATGCCTTTGAGCTGGCCTGATTCAAGCTGCAGAGAGCTACTTAAAGACCCTAAAAGACAGTCTAGCATCACCCCAGACTCAGACCTACTAGGGCATCCATGCCCTACTAAGTTTATATGCCCCATGGACCCAGGGGTGGCCATTCCCCAAGAAGAGAGCTCTTGGGAGAAATACCAGCAATAGATCAGAGCACATCCTATTTGAGAATAGGACCATCTTGAGAATAAAAAGGAGCAAGTACCACAAAAATCAAATGAAAATAAAGTTTTCAATTATTCTCTACTCCCAGCTAGATAAAAGAGTGATATACAGGTTAAAGACATTCTAATTCACTGTCATTTGAGAAATATATAGTATTAGCAAAGTTTGAATAAATAAGACAGGAAAACATGTATTGCTTTTCATTTTTTGCTATTCTTATTTCAATACTGTCAGTTTTCAGACAAGGGACTTGTTGGGGAAAAAAATCCTTGGAACAATTCTAGAATTTAAAAATCATTTGTGTGAATTCTTGTTCAGAATTTAAATAAAAATTGAAAAACAGGACAAGAACCCTAAAAGTCTTTTAGAAACCCAGTGTGGGATCTGCTCAGTGAATTAGTGGCTATCTTGGCCATTCTTTGTCCTGGAGCTCAGCTTGTCTGTGGATGTCTCTCTACCAGAGTGTTCTCATTCTTTGTATGTAACCATGGCAAGAGGCCTTATACTTGACCAAGGCTTAGGACATGTACAAAAGAAAAGAAAAGAAAAAAGAGAGTGTAGAGGGATAGAGAAGGGAAAGGTAGAGAAAGAGAAGAAGATGGATAGTACATGGCGATCTTCTTCAGTATATCTTCCTTAATACAGACCTAGCGTATTTTGAGAAAAATTTTAGGAAGAGGGAGAAGCCAAGATTTCTACTTACTGTAATCCTTGGGAAATGCCATAGTGAGGTAAAAATGAACTGTGAACTATAAACAAGCAACTAGGAATGAGCTGATATGCAAGAAATGATAGCTTGAAGAATTCATCCTCCAGGAGTCCCTGAAGATTTTAAGGAATAACAATTAAATGACAATTAAATGCTTTTTATTGGGCAGGGCAGGGGGATACTGGGGATTGAACCCAGGGGCACTTAACCACTAAGCCACATTCCCAGTCTTTTTTAATTTTTTATTTTGAGACAGGGCTTTGCTAAGTTGTTTAGATCCTTAATATGTTGCAAACACTGACCTCAAACTTGCAATCCTCCTGTCTTGGCCTCTTCAGTCACTGGGATTACAAGATGAATTTTGTTTCTTACCCATTATTTTCTAAAAGTAAATGGAGATTTTTCCATAAATGAGGTACTATTTCAAAATAATGTGAACTTCAAAATATTGAGTAAGTAATATTATCTTCCCTACTTTATAGATAATAAAACTGAGGTTACACAATTTACCCAGGTGCCACAGGAAGAAGAATGGCGGAATTACTTGAAATTCAGGCACCTCTTATGTGAGAATTTATTCCTATTTAATGGCCAAGGTTAAAGTCTACATTACACCATTGAACTGAAAGGGTGGGAGGGAATTAAAGAGCTGGCTTCCAATCTCCTAGGTCAAGAAGAAAATCTCATCAAGTTTGGGGATACAAGCCTGAAGTCCCAGCTACTCTGGAGGCCAAAGCAGGGGGATCACAAGTTTGAGGCTGGCCTTGGCAATTTAGCAATATCCTCAGCAATTTAGTGAGACCCTACCTGAAAATTTAAAAAAAAATAAGGGACTGGGGATGTTGCTTAGTTAGTAAAATGCCCCAGGGTTTAATCCCCAGTCCAAAAAAAAAAAAAAAGAAAGAAAGAAAGATCAAGAACCCACATAAACACTCAAAAATTTGTCTGCTTTCTTAGGCCATTTAATTTATAGGGTTTCACTGAGAGGAGGGGCGGGGGGAGCTGCTGAAAAACTTCTTAACCAACAAAAGACAAAAGAGAAAACTTCTTGTTATAATAAAATTGTCCATTGTCATCATTCCTTTTATTTAGAACACAACCATCAAGTGATTTAGTTCCTTTTCTGGTTTAAATGGCCACATTACACTGTATGCTAAACTAAAGTATAAAATCTAAATGTACTTTTGCCTGAAATTCTGAGTTTTAAAGGCCAAAAGTTTGTTTCCTTATTTCAGTGAATTATTTTGCTGTTACCAATTAGATGTCTTGTGACAAAGAACATGAGAGCTATTTAAAAGAAACCTGCACAATGTAGGCAGAGTAATTGCAGTCCTGAATAGGGCAAACAATTAAATACAGCCTGCATCCTGCATCCTAGGGTATTTTGAGGCATCTCATGGCATTGTGCCTGGTTCCTGGGATTCACATGTTGAAAGCTTTTCATGCTTTCTTTTTAAATATGTATTTAAAGCTATTCACTCTCTCTCAAAGCAAACAAAGAAAAGAGCCTGCTGCAGGATCTTGCTGGACTCCTTATATACAGAGAACCCAATCAGATTTCTCAAGAGGGCAGCTCAGAGCCTCTGTCTCACCTAAGACAGTTGATGAAACTCATGAAATCATGAACAATCAGGAAAATCATGTTCACTGAGGCAGACCATCATGGAAAGAGATTTCATTAAAATAATGTTCAACTATTTTAAAAACATACATATGGTAAAAGAACCCAGGGCTAGGAATGTGGCTCAGCGGTGTTTGTCTAGCTTGTACCAGGATCCAGGTTCAGTCCCCAGCACCACAAAAACATACTGTGGGAATAACAACAAACCCTAACAGCACAAAAGAATATCTAC